AGAAACCAAATCGATTATGGTGTGATAGACGGAAGACATGCTTCCAGCGTTTTAGACGTACGTACATTCCGAAGGCCAAACATCGACTCGGACGACTATATTGTTGTAGCCAAGATACGCACCCGCCTCTGTGCAGCAAAAAATTTGCGCCAACAATGCAAGGAAACCTTAACGTCGAAAAGCTGCAACCACAACAGACAGCCAATTTATTCGCCACTCGACTCACACACCTGCTCTCTGAGATTACTCTTCAACAATCCGACATACGCGAGCAGTGAAACCACATTTCCCAATCATTAAGTACCGCCGCCGGTAGTTGGATTTCAGCGAGCACCAAAGAACAACTGGTACCATGAGGAATGTCAAGAAGCCACAGAGAAAAAAGACGCAGCGTATAGTGCCACGCTGCAACTGGGCGCAACGCGAGCCATGTGGGACCGTAATATGGAACTGAAGAAGGAAGCGAGACGTATTTGCCGCAATACGAAGAGAGAGGCCGAAATACGTGAGTGCGAAGAGCTTGAAATGCTAGCCGACAGGAAAAACTCCCGATAATTTTACCAGAGGGTTAGGCGACTTACGGAAGGTTTCAAGACCATGGCGAAGTCCTGTAAGAACAACAATGGCGACCTAGTGACCGATGTCCAGAATGTACTTCAATTGTGGAGGGGTCACTGAAAGCAGTGGAGAAGACGAACCCGAGTCCCCAGTCGATGATGATGGAGTAGCTGTACCACCGCCTGACTATGACGAGGTACGAATAGCGATTATCCGGCTGAAAAACAACAAAGTTGCTGAAGCTGACGGCCTGCCAGCCGAGCTATTCAAGTACGGCGGCGAGGAGCTGATGCGGTGCATGGTCAGATGAACGCATGCGACGACTGGAATTTAAGTGTGCTTTGCTCAATCCACAAGGAAGGCGACCTCGCCATACGCGCCAACATACTCCTTGTCACTCGGCATACCTCAAGCGACATTGATTTTCATATTTTAAGTTTTATTAGAAAAAATTAAGTTTAAAAATTAGTATTTGAGTTTTATTTTTTGCTTAGGATATAAAACTAAATTTTTGGGTTTTTTACGTCAAAATGCACATATACAAGGACAAGAATAAAGATAAATATTAAGGGAAAATTAAAATAATGGTGGTAATAGCAATGGTATTGGTAAAGGTAGGTAAGGGTAATGGGTATGGTAATGACAATGGCAATGGTAACGCTAATGTTAATGCTAATGGTAATGGTAACTGTAATTGTACATAATTTCAGTGGTGGTCGTCGTTTTCATGTTTACCTTCGTATTCAAGTTCGTATCCGTGTTCGCATTTGCATTCGTGTTCGTGTTCGCATTCGTTTTCTCATACGTCTTCGATGTCTTATTCGTACTCGTGTTCGTTGTTCATAATAGTCCTAGTTTTCTGCTTCTTAGCCGTCCTCTTTTCCGATTTCACTTTCGTGATCACTTCCGTCTTCATATTCGTATTGGTCTTCTTTTGGCCCTTCGTCTTCGTATTCCTCATTAAACTCGATTTCGTATCATAAGTCTTACGTCCTCGTCGCCATATTCGAATTCGTCTTGGTTTTCGTCTTTGGTGTCGTCATCATTTTACTATTCCCGAAGCGGAAATATTTTGTTTGTTAGTCTTCTTTTTCAGCTGTTTGACAGTTTGCCGCCCAAAATGCCATGCCAAAAAAATTCATGCAAAAAAATATGTTTGCGTTCATTTATTTCTGAGAAGTACAAAAACGAAAATCTGCAAGCCAGATTCTCTCACCGCTCTCAATTTGCGCAAGGCGGTAACTCTATCTAAAATCAACAGGTTCTTAAGACGTTTCGGTAAAATCTCAGTTAGACTAGACTTAATTTGCGTAACTTAACTTAATAATGCAGTGGTAAGCAGTGCGCGCTTCAATTCCGCAGCACCTGGGTTCAAACCCTGGTCAAAGCAGCATCGCAAAAAATATAGAAAAAAGGTTTTTTCTCAACAGCGGTCGTCCCTCGGCAGGCAATGGCAAACTTCCGAGTGTATTTCTGCCATGAAAATTGCTTCTTATAACAAGTAAGAAAGTCTAAGTTCGGGCAGAGCCGAACATTAAATACCCGGCGCAAGTATTAAATATATGTTTTTTCACCTTTCCGAAACCTTCCGCTAGATGGTAAGCCGGGGTGTATCAATTTTGAGTAAATTAGCGTCCTTCAAATTTCGAAATATTGAAGTTTCAAGCATTTCTGAAATTTACCGTTATATGTAAAGCGGCCTCAATTTTATTTCGCTTTCAATAATTTTCAACGTTTTGCTTTTTTGTGGCAAGCACAATAACCACACCGAGTTTGGTACAAATTGGTAGAACGGTTACCGATATACTTATATGTGATCATAAGTGGGCGGTGCCACGCCCATTTTCCAAAATTTTACCATAAGCGTATTTCTTGGTAAAGAATTGTTGCAAGCATCAATTTTGGATAAATTAGCTTCAATATTTACTGATTTATCGAAGATTTTGTATTTCTCTAAACTACCGTTATATGGGATGTGAGCGTGGTTATTGTCCGATTTTAAAAAGTTTCGGCGATTTTTTCTGCTGTACCAAGGCCAACAACTGTGCCAAGTTTGGAAGAAATTGGTGCAGCGGTTACCAAGATAAACACATGTAACCATAAGTGGGCGTGGCTACGCTCATTTTCCAAAAATTTATAATCTTATTTTTCGTCTAAAAATTATTGTAAATATCAATTTTGAGTGAATAATCTCCAGTAGTTACTAAAATATCGCAGTTTTCTTATTTCTGAAAATTACCGTTATATGGGAAGTAGGCGTGGTTATTAGCGATTTTAAAAATTTTCGGCCATTTGGCATGTTGTGCGAAGGCCAACAACTGTGCCAAGTGTGGAAGAAATTGGTGCAGCGGTTACCAAGATATATACATGTAACCATAAGTGGGCGTGGCTACGCCCATTTTCCAAAAATTTATAATATTCTTATTTTTCGCCTAAAAATTATTGTAAATATCAATTTTGAGGGAATTATCTTCAGTAGTTACTAAAATATCGCAGTTTTCGTATTTCTGGAAATTACCGTTATATGGGAAGTGGGCGTGGTTAAAGTCCGATTTCGCCCATTTTCAATACCAACCTACCTTGGATTAAGGGAAATCTACATACCAAATTTCGTTGAGATATCTCAATTTTTGCTCGAGTTATCGTGTACACGGACGGACGGACAGACGGACAGACGGACGGACAGACAGACATGGCTTAATCGATTTCTTTTTTCATCCTGATCATTTATGTATACATTTGTCTATATCTATCTCGATTCGTTTTGGCTGTTACAAACAACCGTTATGTGAACAAAATTAATATACCCTTGTGCACAAGTGCCCTCGGGTATAAAAATACAATCGCCTTTCGGAGTCGGCGTAAAACTGTAGGTCCCTCCGCTTTGTGTGACAACATCAAGGCGCACCCCATAAGTCGGAGGAGAAGCTCAGCCAAACACTAACATTTGTGTAAGCGTCAACCTACTACTATTATTAACTTAATATTTTGGCCAACCTGTTATATGAGAAACTTTGTTGGCGGTTAGTTGAATCTTAACTT